CATACCCAATGGAAGCAAAAGCACGATGGGAAATACTTGAGCGAGAACGCTGGAAAAATGCAGGGAGAAGAAGAGAAAGAAGAGAAAGATGAGAAAGAAAGAAAGAAAGAAAGAAAGAAAGAAAGAAAGAAAGAAAGAAAGAAAGAAAGAAAGAAAGAAAGAAAAACGCACCTTTCCAAGAACCTTGTCATGCTCAACACTGATAAACTGCCCTGCCTCGTCAAAGTGCTGACCAGACAGCTGACCTCGCTTGTATAATTTCGGAGTGATGCGCCCGCGAATCTCCATGATGGCCCTGAGCATCTGGTTATTGCTGTCGCCCGCAAAGAGTATCTTGCCCGTGTAGAGCTCATACAGAGTGCATCCGATCGACCACATGTCGATGCCGTAGTCGTAGGGCATGCCCAGCATGAGCTCGGGCGCGCGGTAGAACCGACTGACCAGGTAGGGCGTGATGCCCGTCTGCGCCATAGCCGCGTCTTCGCGGTCGATGGCCGTACCCAGGTCGCATACCTTGAGCGACGTCCGGCTCTCGTTGACGAGTATGTTGTCGGGCTTGAGGTCCGCGTGGATGATGCTGCATCGCTGCATGTGCGCCAGCGCCACCAGCATCTGGTACGCGTACGTTCGCGTCGCCCCCAGGTTGATGCCGACATTGTGCCCAAACTTGCGCAGCACTTCGCGCAAGTTCAGGCTCAGGTTCTCAAACGCCATGCACAGGTGGCCCCGGTAGTCAAATGACCGCTCAAACAGGATGATGTGCTTGCGGTTCTCTGGGTCCGCGTCGTTGAGCTTCTTCAGGATCGTGATCTCCGTATAACCGCCCTTGCGCAGCGCGTCGTTGTTGCGCATCATCTTGATGGCCACCAGCTTCTTCGTCGTCGTGTCCACGGCCCGCACCACGTTGGAGAACATGCCGCGACCCAGCGTCGCTTGCACCTGATATCGGCCCCCAATCACCTCGCCAACTCGCATCTTGTAGTACCCATCCTTGTCGTCGCCCTCCAGGATGCCGCCCTTGGCCTGCCCGTCACCGCCGAGCTCCACGTCTTCCACGGGCTCCGCAGCCGGCGCCTGCTTGGCTGCGAATTTCTCGTCAAAGTCTTCGGCAAACATGTCAAAATCGTCGTCTTGGTCGTTGTCGCCGCCACCACCGCCGGATGTCTTCTGCGCCTCTGTCTCCCCTGGCTCTTTCTCCGTCGTCTGCACGACATGCGCTTCCCCGTGAATGACAGTCTGACCATGGCGCAGTTCGTCACGGCGTTCGTCCTCCTTCATATCCACCGTCGGATCGTAGTCGGCGGCCGAGGGCCCATCCTGCTCCTCGTGCTCTCCATCGCCGTGCTTGTTCCCGCTGAGATCCATGGTTCCGGGTGAGGTCATGTCGTTCAATCGCGGTGATCGGGGAGACGTGGTATCTTTTAGCAGGTCAGTACAAGTCATCAATTCGTCCAAGGTCCAGGAACGAGCGAATCCTTACCAGATATTGGAGTCCGAGGCCTGTCTACGTCCATGTGAGGCGACTCTCCCCGCGACGTGGCCGCCTGCGAGGATGCAGCCGGTGAAGCCGCGCGTGCCTTTTCGGATGCTCCAACGGCGTGCAAGAGCATGGGTGTCGCCGAGCTCGACTTGGCCAGAATTTCGGCGCGTCGTTTGCGACGGCGCTCTATCTCGGCCTCTTCGTCGACAGGTTCGGGTTCGGGTTCTGGCTCTGGTTCAGGTTCAGGTTCAGGTTTAGGCTCGGACTGTCGCGTCGGCCGTGTCTGGTCGTGCTGTCCCCGAGCTGTTGACGATGAGCCATGGCCGCCATGGGCGTCTCTGGCTGGTTTAGCATCCTCTCTCCGATAGCGCGCAACGTCAACCTGCGCAGGTGGCGGTCTTGAAGGTAGCGAGCCCCTCACCCTGGAAGGACCACCATCATCATACCTCAGCCCAGCATCGCCGCCGGCACCATCTACACCGTAGCCAGACAGGCTGTCTCCTTCGACGAAGCGGTCGAGCTTACTCCTATCCGGTCGACGGGACCTGGGCGAGCGGCTCCGTTGTCTAGGTCGCTTGCTGCCGTAATCCGAGTACCGGTCTCGATTGCGGTCGTCGCGAAAGCGGTCCCTGTCTCGGTCTCGGCCGTAGTCATTGCGGGCTCTTTCGCGGTCGCGGTCACGGTCGCGGTCGTGGGGATCCTGGCCGTAACGCGATGACGATGTCGGTTGCTGGTCCAAATCTTCGTACGAGATTCGTGATCTCTGGTGATGATGACCATCTCTGTCGTACCGGGGCCCGCGGGGTGGGGCCCTCGAGGAGGATGAATCGTAGTCTCGGCCTCTGCTGCTGCTACCGCCACCGCCGCCGCCGTACGGGAGGTCGTCGTGGGGCCTCTTTTGGCCACGGGGCGAGCGGCTGCGGCGCGAAGGGGATCCGGCGCTGTATCTGGACGCGACGTCGTGGTCTGTCGAAGAGTGTCTACTCTGGGGTCTGCCATGTCGGTCAACACCGCTTCCCTCATTCGTTGAAGCACGCGGTAGAGACGATGCCTTCAAGTCCTCACGGGCATTATAAACAATCTCGCCTTCGTCCGAGCTCGACACCATCGTATGTGTTTGCTTCGCGAGGTGGGCGTAATACAAGTCTTTTGTTGTTATTGTGCTGGATCTGGATCCACAAAAAAGGATCTCTTTTTTTATTTTTGATTGCAGAAGACGGTCACAAAGTAGATAGTGTCAGCAAGATGGCCCTTCAACAAGAGTTGCAGCAGGAAAAGATCCGAACCAGATCAGCATGGACTGCTCAGGTCATGTGGGCGAGAGGCGAAGGGAGAGAGAGGAAAGAGAGTGTGTCTGGAGACGAGATGGAAGAAGCTGTGTCTAATGCGATAGACAAAAGACGAATTCCAGGTAGAATAGTATTTCAGCGCTATGGCAAGCCGGCGTCTGATGGTGACGGATACTGTTGAAGGTGGGTGATTGATGGAGAAGATGATGAAGATGATACAAAATCTTCAATGCCCAAATGAACCTTTTCTGGTGCATCATCTCTGGAGACGGCACACAGCTCTATCGAGATTCATTACATAAGCACATCAAAAGGACCCTGACCTGACCCCACTCTTTCTTTTCCCTTTGCGACGTCCCGCGCTATACACGAGGAAGGCGAAAAGGACCGGAAGAGACGCTGACTTTTTCTCCTTCTTTTTCCATATTTACTTGCAAAATCTCTATCGCCACCATAGTCCATCCGGGATCTCCTCGTCGGATACAGCTATCTGATCGACTAATTCCGCAGACCTCAAAAGAATCAAAACAAAAATGGGCGGCAACAACCGTGAAGGTAAGGGAAAAAAAAAAGAGACAATCTCAGTCCAACAATTTACCCCGCCGCTGACTCTCTTTCTTGTGTAGGCGGCAAGGCCAAGCCCCTCAAGCAGGCTAAGAAACAGGCCAAGGACCTTGACGAAGACGATAAGGCTTACCTCGAGAAGAAGCGCGCCGGTACGATGATGTTGTTGATCTGTCGTTGTCTTGGGAGCTGTCTTTTCATGTGATCGAACAATGCTGACCGATGGCTGACAATTTTTTCTTGATCGTTCTTACAGAGGAGAAGGCTCGAAAGGAGATGGCTGCCAAAGCCAGCGGCAAGGGACCTCTCAACCTGGGAACACAGGGCATCAAGAAGAGCGGCAAGAAATAAAGCACCGAATCGAGGGCTACCAGATGCCATATGTGATTTGGGGGTCTAAGCACCACAGCGACGACGACGGCATGCGGCAACAATATAAAATGGGTTATTTTACGGGGTTCTTATAATGAAATATATACACAAATGGAATTCCTCTTCTTTTGAAACGGTCTGGCTCTTTTCTTGACTGTGGGTGTCCTCGTCTGAGCTGAAGGGGGGAATAATCGTCCGAGTATTGAGGCATATCCATCCATGTATAAATCGTACATAAATTGGAATACCTACAATACTGTAATCTATACAGATCTGTAGACAACACCACTAAGCGACATGCAAAACAATGCTCAGAACGCACTACACCCGTCCATAGTATGAGATGTTCTTTCACATGGTCATGATGATTATTTCCAATACTCGTTCCGGTCAGCCAATCTGTTGTACCGAGGTCTACTGCCATCCGCTCTGATCTTGCTGTTCGGCGGCAAGTACGCCGGACGCGCCTTCCCAACAAAACCACCGCCTCCAGACACCCGTCGATCCCAACATACATCTACACATGTACACGCTTCACACTACCAAACTCCTCATCTCCCCGACATCTCATCCCTATGACGATATCGAGCCATTTGATCCCCTGACCATAGAGAAAAAAAAACCAGACACCACGCCTCATTTCATTATCAGAAACAAATAATCCTTTTTCTCCAAGAGCGTAAAACATGGATGACGCGACCCTCCGTCAGCGTCGACCCGCTGACACCGAGCCATCGTCACCGTCTGCCCCTCCACCACTCGACACCATCATCTCTGAAGACCTCCAAGCCCTCTTATCGTGGGATGCACTGCCCTCCTGGCGTCGCGACAATGCATTCATCCAATCCGGATATCGCGCTGTCAAACCCTCGTACCTGCACTCTGCTCGGTCCCTGACGCACCTGCACAATGAGTCAGTCAACATCTGGTCCCACCTCCTCGGGGTGTTTGCCGCCATCGTCGCCTCCCTGTATTCGTACCTGATTGTCCACCCACGGTACCAGTCCGCCAACACAGCGGACGTGGTTGCCTTCGGTCTCTTCTTTGGCGGGGCCGTCCTGTGTCTCGGTATGAGCGCCGCCTTCCACGCGCTCTTGAGCCACAGTGAGACGGTAGCCAAATGGGGAAATAAGCTTGACTACTCGGGAATCGTCGCCCTTATCGTGGGTAGCTACATGCCTGCTCTTTACTATGGCTTCTTCTGTGAGCCTGCTCTCATGGAGTTTTACATAGTCTTGGTCAGTATACATTTCCCTTTCCCTCTTTTCCCCTCCCCCGTGTCTTTTGTTTCTCTCAAACACACACACACACACACACACGCACGCACGCACGCACGCAATACAACACAAATGTTCGGAATCAGAATACTAACCATAACCAGATCTGTACCCTTGGTGCTGGATGCGGTGTGGTGTCGTGGGTAGACAAGTTCCGCACCCCGGCCTGGCGCCCCTACCGCGCAGCCATGTTCATAGGCCTGGGCCTCTCTGGCGTCGTCCCCGTCGTCCACTGCGTCTCCATCTATGGATACTCGGTTGTCATGGATAGAATGGCTGTCAACTGGATCATCATCCACGGCGTCATGTACATTTTCGGCGCCGTCCTCTACGCCGCCCGCTGGCCCGAGAGGTCTTGGCCCGGGGTATTCGACATTTGGGGCAGCTCGCACCAGATCTTCCACATATTCGTCCTGATGGCTGCCGGCACACACCTATATGCCATGTCACGGGCCTTTGACTACCATCACACTGTCATGGCCTCACAGTGTCCATCGGAGGCGAATTGAAGGAGGAGGGCTGGTAATAGACTACAGGTAGTATAATACTCGAAAAGCGCAACAAGATAACACCAGATGTTGATATACAATAGACAGTATTGCTCCGGCTCCTTATTTATTCATTCATTTATTTTAGGGACTTTATTTTGTTTTACTGTAAGCGTTCCAGGGTCTTGCTCTGGATGCTGTCAGTCCCCATATTCCCGATCAAGACCCAGATCCATGATCTTGACAAGTCCCGACGCCGTAGCCGCCGCCGCCCAGCATCCATACGCCTCGTTTGGATTCCACTGCACGGCCGTGATGCGCGTTCCAGGTTCGTGGACAATCACCCTAGTTGGGTCCACCGACCCGGCCGCCTCCTCACTATCATCCCCACCGCCATCCTGCTGGTCGCCCGCGTCGTCGTCCTCGGCTCTCTTCTTCTTCTTAGGCGGAGGCTTGGCTGGCGCACGTTTCCCGTCGACTCTGGCCTTTCGGTTCTTTTCCGGCAGGAAACCGTGCAGTATACGGGAGACGCCGCGCTGGGCAGCCCCTGACGACGCGGGGAAATGTTCTGCGGGACGGTGCTCGTGCTGGAAGATGCGGATGCGATCGCTGGACTCACGACGACCCTGGAGGACCTGGAACAGGTCGAACTGCGGATTGAGGGCGGCGAGCGACCCGTCCGCTGACCCCACCAGGAGGAAAGGGTGGGTGCGCCCGACGTCGAGGCAGGTGGTGAAGCTGTCGCTGGCAAATGTGCGTCGCGGGATGGGGAAGTAGGCGTGGTGCATGAAGCCGACCATGGTGCTGAGCACGTTGGACGACGGCATCATGGCGAAGAAGCCCTTGAGGTGGTGGCTCCACGACAGCAGGTTGGGCGTCGTGCTCACGCTCAGCGTCGGGAACTCGGTCGTCTCGCAGCTTGGATTGCGCATGTCCACCAGCTTCACGTGGCCTCCCACAGGGACAGAGGCCACTAGGTAGGGAAACGTTGGGTACCCCGACGTCATGTCGACTATGGCGCTGTGGTGCGTCATTTGTCGCGAGAGCACGCAGCATGGGTGCATGGACCACAATACCGTACAGCCGTCCGAGTATCCCACCGCCAGCCGGTTCAGTCCAACCCATGTCATGGCCGTCGGCTTGATATCACCCGGGAGCCGGAGCGAGACGCTGGCCTGCTCGACCTTTTCTGTACATCATGTTAGAGCAGCTGTGGTGTCATGGGTGGTCTTAGGTGTTATATCTAGACGTGCAGCGCTTACCGTATGGAGAGTCCTGTCCGGATAGGGGCTCGATTACCTCCACCCTCGTGTTTGTGAGCACGGCCAGGTGCTGATACGACGGCGCCCATTTGACACGCCTTGCTCGTCCGGAGTCGAGACACAGAGTCTTGAGTAGCTTGGGCAGCTGTGGTGCCGGGTAAATGTAGGCGCCTTCCTGTTTCCCGCAGAACTCCCATATCTGCACGGTCCCGTACGCTTGAAAGTCTGATTTGGACGATTCTTCTTGGTAGTTGTAGTTTTGCTGGTCCCCAAATGGGATGACTGCCAGAGCTAGGTGCTGCGGGGAGTCGACTGACTGGTGATGGGCCCAATCGAGGCTGAGAACGATGCCGCCGGCGTCCAACATCCAGCCCGACGCATCGGCCGTCTCACACTCGTTCTCGGCAATGGGCACACCCATGTGCGACAGGAGACGCGACGTTCCGGGTCCCATGGGAAACTCGCCCTGTGCGTTGTGGGGTCCCATCAAAACGGGCAACGTACCCGGACGCAGCTGGTACGGAGCGGACTCTTGCTCATCCAACGGCCTCAGGATAGACCCCTCTGGCCGGTCAGCGCTCCAGCGCTCTAACCATCGTCGCGCATGCTCAGCCTCCCTTTCTGACGCTCCATGCTCCCATGTGTCGACGGGAACGGCGTCGGGTCCAGGGACAGGTTCCCTTGGTGGCAGGAGCGGCCAGTCAAGCCACCGCTCGACCAGCCGTAGCGCCGTCTCGATGTCACAGTCTTCCGGGCCGTACCACGTGTCAGCCAGTGCAGCTCCCCGAAGATGCCGTTCAAACGTGCCAGCGTAGCCTCTAGGTACGTGCGTATCCGCGATGAATGGCTCCAGGTCGAGGTAGGCTATCGCTGCGTCATGACCCTTCTCGTCGCCGCCGACGCTCTTTGCCACCGCCTTTACCGGTTTGGGACGGCGGCGTTGTTGGCGCTGGCTGCGACCATGAGGTGCGGGGTCGGCATTGACGAACGCATCTGATTCAGAGGCGGCGATGGCGTCGGCGTCAGGGTCCGGGCTCTGTTCGCGGTCATCATCGCCATCGAAGCTGCCGTCTCTTTTGTCGGCTTTTCTCTGCCGCCGGGATGGGCCCACACGTGCATCTGCATCCTCCCCACTAGCCTCGCTGCCCCCGGAGACGTACTCGTCGACTGTGTAGCGCTTTGTCGTGTTGGATTTCCTGGTCCGCATAATGGGCGTCGGGGAGGTTGGCGTTGATTGACAATGATGATCTGCGTCGTCGTCCTCTCTCAGGTTCTTCCCTCACATGCGTGAAGCCGCCCGCTGGAAATTAGTGCTGCAAGGTTTCGCAGCAGCACTGACTCACAGGTTCCACAGAGCGTGAAGAGCCGTGAAGAGCGTGACGCCGGAAACTGGCTCGTTTCATCGAATGGGAGAAATTAGGGGGAACATCGCATTGAACAGGAGTCTTTTGATTCTCGGCATATCAAAGTACGTATGTCCGTTTATTTTTTATGGCTGCCATCATGACAGAGACTTGTTGTACTCGTACGCGGTTGCTCCTTCCTTGTAGCCCCTGCCGTTGAGAGCATTGTAGATACAGCTTATACGGAAGGAGCTTTCCATTACTTGAAGCTCCTTCCCCCGTAACTGCCACATCAATCCGCCCACCAATATTTCACTAGAACAAGATGGAGTCTTCATCATTATCATCACTATCGCGCCATGACTATTCCACGACTCTATCCATCGTAGCAATACGATCAGCTCAAGCTTTTGGCCCCCACAATACTGCCATTACCTCTCGGATCCCTGCCAACTTGTTCTACGACGTTTCAACCACGTGCAAGACATACTTCCGTTCAACTAACCGCTTCCTGATGGGAACGTTTCTTCCAGTTTCCCATGCTCACGGTCGAGGCAACTCATGTCGTACCGCGAGGGACACGAAACTGCGACCTACTTGGATAGCCCCGATGGGGAAGGTCACGCTTGATTGACAAAGAACCAAGCTTTAGCATACGAACATTTGTACGCCGTACGAATAAGTGAGGGGACATATACTACGCACTCGTCGGTGCTCCGCAATATCGAATGGAGATGATGGAATCACCCATCCAGAGCCGGCGAGCGCTATACTTGAGTCCGTCGCCCCATAATTTAACCCTGACAATCCTGGCCAGCGCTTATGGTTATCTGTACGCATAATGCTACCATCGTCCAAACAGATCCACACTCCCCAATCATAGCTATGTTCAAAGGGGAGACAAACACAGCATCCATGCCGCCGAGACCATGCTCCTATATATGTACGGGCGTATGCTACCGATTGCCAATAGAGTACTCCCGCTTCCCCCATTCGCGTCGGCCCACACACACGACTAGCACTTTTGCTCATGTCCCATGGAATCTTGGTGCCCCTCACGGTGTTATTTAGCACATCTGGGTATCGCAACATGTTTGTGTGACGTTGTCAACGACATACACGACCGGCACCCATGGCCCCAGAGCTGTTTGTTTAGTGGGCATTTCTGGGTCCCCTTAGCACCTAACGAATCAAGCAGGTCGTGTCTCACAGTCATACTGCTCTTGCCCCGGGGAGTGCTCATCTTAATGACCCAGCAATATGGCTAGGCCATGTTAAAAAGGACTGGCATGGCATGTCTTCGATTCCGACACGCCCAGGTTCCTGTTGGTTTACTACATTCTCTCCAATTCACGACGCTTTCCCGTTCCTTCATCTGCAACGTGAACCATGAAGACATCTACAATCCTGGGGTTGGGGATTGCCCTGCCCTTCGTCGCCGCCAAGGTCTCATATGACGGATACAAGGTTTTCCATGTCGACAGCGGTGGCGATCATGTCGCCGTAGCCAAGGCCCTCAAGAGCATTGACCATATGTCGCTTGGTTGCGGGGGCAGCCACAATGGCTTTGATATCGCTGTGCCGCCCACAAGCCTCAACGCTTTCAAGGACCTAGGCCTTGGCTACGAGATTGTACACGAGGATCTTGGCGCGGACATTGCTGCCGAGGCCGCCTTCACTCCCTATGTTGGTATGCATAAGCCCCCTCCCGCCCCGATCAGTCCCATGAAGAAATTCCCACCATACCGACCAGAACAGCCACAATCAAGGATCGGGGTAATGCCGCCTTACCCGACATTTCGTACTTTGACTCATACCACGACTTTGAAAGCCACCTCGACTTCCTCGATGACCTCGTAGCTGCTTTCCCGGGCAACTCCGAGACCTTTGTGGCTGGCCAGTCCGTCGAAGACAGACCACTCAAGGGTATCCATCTGTATGGCGCTGGAGGTCCTGGTACCAAGCCGGCCATTGTGTGGCACGGTACAGTCCACGCCCGCGAATGGATTACTACAGTCGTATGCTCCACAGCTTTCATCTCTAAGGCGGAGAAGCGAAATCTAACCTGGTTCTAGACCGTTGAATACTTGGCGTATCAGATAATTAAGGGCTACCAGGATGGCGACAAGACCATCACCGCCACGCTGAATAGCTATGATTTCTACATTATCCCCGTGGTGAATCCCGATGGTGAGTCGACTGCATTCGCCCTCAGAACATTGGACATCGCTGACAGAAAACTATAGGATTCGTCCACGCCCAAAAGACGGACCGCCTGTGGCGCAAGAATCGCCAAGAGCGCTCGGGAGCCTCGTGCGTGGGCACCGATGTGAACCGCAACTGGCCCTACAAGTGGGACATCGACGGCGGCTCGTCTCCAGACCCGTGCGACGAGACGTACCGCGGCGAGGCCCCCGGTGACACGCCGGAGAACAAGGCCCTGACTAACCACACCCTGACGGTCAGCGACGGTGTCGGACTCAAGCTCTACATTGACTGGCACTCGTACAGCCAGCTCATCCTCCTCCCTTACGGCTACAGCTGCTACGCCGAGGCCTCCAACATAGACGTGCAGATGGACAAGGCGGGCATCGTCGCCGACGGCATCCGCTCCATCAACGACCTCGACTTCATCTACGGACCCACTTGCAAGACCATCTACTCTACCGCCGGTGTCAGTATGGACTGGGTGTACGATATTGCCGAGGCTGAGCTGGCCTGGGCCATTGAGCTGCGTCCCGGATCTAACACCGACGGTGGCTTTGTCATTCCTCCTTCCAACATTTTGCCCTCTGGAAAGGAGATTTGGGCTGGTATATCTAGTCTTTTCGAGTCTTTTTAATAACATCACCTCGTGTATGTGTGTGTCTTCTCAATCAGTATATGATGATGTACAGACTCATTCACATGATAAAAAAGAAGGAAAAGTCTAATTCAATTGTATATATTCTATCCGGCAAAACAAGGCTGTGTGATGCTGGATCGCACTAAACAGGCCGCACCATTTTTTCCGCCCAGACACATCTCTCCATACACGCATCAACTGGCGAACCGGAAATCAAGACGCTTACTTCCCTTATCGGTGGTAGTGTCGAGATAAATCCGCTGTTGCTCAGGAGTCATGGCATTCCATTTCTTGTCGCGGCTCTTGTTGCGCAGGACATAGTATACCTTGACAAGGAGGAAGCAGACGATGTTCATCGAGACAACGCCGACGAGGTTCCGGTTTCCGTTCCTATACCGCGGGGCGTCATTCTGGCGGTACACGTTGGAGGCGATGATGGCACTGGACTGGACCGACATGTTGTAGACTGCTGCCGAGACGGTGCGCAGTCGGACGGCGTTGGAGTTGCGAGAATTCCAGCCGACGAGGATTGCGTGGGCTATGAGTTGTCAGCACATCTGTCTTACATACTCTTTCCGTTTTTGATGGGGCCAATGGAAGTAGAGAAAAGGTGGAAACTAAAGGGCAGGGAAGTGAAACTCACGAGACGGCCCTGCCAGCAAAAGAGTTAGAATGGCCCATGCTTTCCATCGGTTAATCTCGTTAATATCAACCAAATATAGGTAGATGAGGAACGGAAACACCCAGATCTGCGAGAACACGGCAACTAGGGCGCGTTGTTGAAGACGTTCAGACAAATAGGTAATGGCTAGGATGGTGACGATACCAGCGGCCATGGGCGGAATGGTCAGCACATTCGTCAGCAGGACGCTGAAGCCCATGCGGCGCAGCGTCAGCGTGAGGTACTGGTTCACGGGAGTAGAGGGGATTTGCCACAGGAGACCAAGAATGTAGAGGGGCCACATGTCGTAATCGGCGAGGGACTGAAAAAGGAGTTTGGGCGTGATGGGTTGGCGGTTGTGCATGTCTCCCTTGCTTGGGTCCTCTCTGATGACGCGGTTCACCATGATGATTTCCTCGCTGACGAAGAGCGTTAGCAGATAAAAGATGAGGAGATAGAGATAGAGGGAAGAGGGGGATTGATAAAAAAGACTTACCGTTCGTCAAACCAGCCATTCTTGCCACGGAGCCAACCCTTTGTCTGTGTCGGTCCCGCCGGCATCAGGAACCACGCCGCGATACCAATGGTCAGAGTCAGGATCCCCTTTTATGTCCGAATTAGCAACCTGTCGCACTAATCTGTTGCGCATGGCAATGTAAGCGTTACATACCTCGAAAAGGAACAGCCATCGCCAACCCGCCCGCCCGTGGTAGCCACGGAGCTGAAGGAAGCCTGCACCTAGTAGACCGGAGATGATATCGGCAACCTGGAGGGCGGACCAGAAGTAGGCTAGACGGACCGAGAGCTCTGCGGACTTGTAAAAGTAGCTGAGATAGAGGATTACCTAGGTGAAGGGGGGGGGCGTGTGTGTTAGTTAAACGTCAGGGTAGAGAATGTTGACGGAAAGACGTACATCCGGGATGAAACCACCTTGCTGCGAGTTATTAGCAGACTGTATTAAATTGAGGATTTTAGTAGCTTGACATACCAAAATGGCAAGAAGTGATCTGCATACGAGAAACGACGTTCTCCCACTCAGCCAGAATTGCGACTGTACACCGTCGTTAGCAGCCATCGCATAGAAAGAGGGAGAGGACTTAGCATGCATACAGCAGACACTATGCTCCACAGGCAGAGCTGCATGGGGATCCAGCGATCCGGACCAATCCACTTGCTAATAAGTTGAGATGGAAGCTCAGCACAGAGGAATGACAACTTGAAGACGGTATTTCCAAGGTTGTAATCTGTAGCAGAATGCTGTTAGAAAGATCGCCCAGATGTCAAATGTCCGGTATCAAGCCAGGGATTCAGAACATAAGAGTATAAAACAAGAATAAAACACTCACCATCCGTTGTCATGCCCAGATCACCCAGAAAATTATCCGACACGGCCTGAGACAGGTTGGACCGATCGAGTTCTAGCCCGATAAACATGATGCAGGCGAACAACATGATGCGTACGTCAATCTTGCGGAGAATTTTGAGCTCCTCACCCCATGTCCAGCGGGCCCTCGGGTCGAAACGATGCAGGTTCTCCCAGTCGGACCTGGGCTGGTACCTCTTTGCCAGCTCCGGGTCATCAAAGACAGACGGCTGAGTGGCAACGGCACCGTAGTCAACGGCGTAGCGGGACCGCTGCCACCACTTGCGGTCCGTCTCCTCGGCCGGAACGCCCAGCTCGGGCCAATTGTCGTCGATGGAGATGACGGTCTGCGACTTTGAGATCTCTTTGGTGTTGTTGTCGTTGTCATCGTCGCTGGGGACGTATTCCTTGTTGGATGAGAGGTTGTTGCCATTGCTGTTAGGCTGCGGAGTGCCACTGGAGACGGCAGTGTCCTCGAGGGGGCCACCACCACTGCCGCCCTGGCCGGAGCCCCGGTGTCTGCGCGAGGGAAGGACGGTAGGCATCGTAGAGTATGAAGGTATCGTTCGTCCTGTTGTCTGATCCAGCAACAGACTCCTCGAGGATCCTTCTCCGGCCGGCATTATAAAATAAAATCCCAAGCTCTTTCTGATCGTTGCCACTTGCCACCCTAACCTTGTATGCATCAAAATAAGCTCATATAAGATCTATAGTCCCGGGAAGGCCGTGGCTTGCCAAGAGAGGTGGCCCAAGACATCCCAGAAAGCACGACATATAAGGAACAAGGTATTTCAATCAACAGATGAGACCATTGGAACATGGACTGGCGTAATGTAGATAAAGCCAAGGAGTAGGGTTCCCATTAGTGTCACCCGGGGGTAATATCTCTATCTGGCTATGATCGCGCGTCTCTGCCCGAGAGATGGAAGTGTTTTTCCCCATGAGTGGGCACGGTTTGAGGAAATGACGTGATATTGACCGTTGGTGTTGTGCGAGAGGCATGTTTCGATCCGCCGGAGTAAACCAACAGATAAATTTCGTACTCAAAACGAAACCGATACGCAGCTTAAGTACTATATGGAGCGGGTATTGGGCCTGGAGACGTAGTCGCATGCGCAGTTAAAGAGGTGCGGCCAATGAAGCATTGCCGTTGTTAGTCGTAAGCTTCCGTCAACGTCTTGATTGTATTGAGGGCTGGTTATCAGGAGCACGACATAAACCAGCTTATCACACTCAATTCTCGACCGAATAAAGAGGTGGGGCTGTCGTCAATCCGTCGCTTGCGATGACCTTGGGGGCGTCGTGTTGCTAAATCACGACATCAATCGTCTCGATGTCGGCATATCATCAGCTGCGACACAACACAACACTGCCAGTATTTGACTGGAAAAAAAAAGGCGTCACCAATACAGCGGCTATACTCTTTGAGAACTCACCCATCAGGAAAGCTGGAGCAAGTGATTGATAAAATCATTCAAGATGATGGTGGCCGATAGTACCACTCACTGGTGCATGAGGTCGTAGTAACAGTCGATCGGGGTGGGGAAGCTGCATAGTCGGAGTATTAAGGCAGTATAAGACGAGGAGTGCATCCTGTAAAGCTGTCAACTCGAATCTGAACCCTCAAAGTCAGAAAAACTTCGTGATTAAGAGTCTGCTTATATAAAAAGTTAGCTCCAATATTCTTCATCATGGCGCCCGCTGCTGTTGAATCTGCCACTGGGGCATCCGTAACCTCCCTCCCCATCATCAAGGGCGGTAGCTCTGCTGCGAAGCTTTCTGGGGTGCTCGACCAGTACGAGGCTTTTGACGTGACGCCGACCATCGGCCGCGAATTTCCCAAGGCCAACCTGGCCGAGTGGCTGAACGCCCCCAACTCAGATGAGCTCATCAGGGAGCTTGCCATCACGAGTGAGTAGTGAATGGACTTGCGCGCGCATGGAAAGACTGTTGTTGGAGACGGCGTCGGGGCTATGGTTGCTAAAACATTACAGTTTCGCAACGCGGTGTCGTTTTCTTCCGTGCTCAGGATGACTTGACCAACGAACTCCAGAAGAAGCTCATCATCAGACTTGGTGAATTGAGTGGACGCCCCCAGTCTTCCGGGCTCCATGTTCACCCCGTCCTAAACTCGGAGCGTGAAGATGGTGGTGACGACCTGGAGATCAGCACCATCAGCTCCAAGCAGTACAAGAGGCTTTACCATAACACGAGTGACGATGGAGTAGTCAAGAGGAGACCGGATACCGAGCTGTGGCACTCGGACATTGCCTTCGAGCCTGTACCCGCCGATTACACGTCTCTGAGGGTCGTCGAGTTCCCCCCCACGGGAGGCGGTGAGTTCAACCTGCCCACATACAGCCTGCCAAAGGACTCTGTATATCCCAAGCAAGGCGCGATCGTAGAGCTAACCATGGGTTGCGCAGACACTCTTTGGGCTTCTGGTTATGAGCTGTATGACCGTCTGAGCCCAGCCTACCAGAAGTTCCTCGAGTCCCTGACGGCCACGTTTGCCCAGCCATTCTTTGAGAAGATGGCCAAGGACAAGGGCTTCCAGCTCCATTCGAAGCCCCGCGGCTCACCCGAAAATGTGGGAGAGAAGCTCAAGGCTATCCATCCCGTGATCCGTACCAACCCTGTCACCGGTTGGAAGAGCATCTTCCCCGTTGGAGCCCACGTCTCGCACATCAACAATGTGACATCCGAGGAGAGCCAGAACCTGCTCAAGTGGTTCTACAGCCTCGTCCAGGACCACTCTGTCCAGGTTCGGCTGAGGTGGCAGAATGCTAACGACATTGGTAAGTTGTGCTTCCACTCTAGGCCTGTGCGTCTGTAAATTGAGGACTTACTGGCTAACCTGGCCCTATGTAAAGCCATCTGGGACAACCGCAGCACATTCCACACTGCTACATATGACTACTACTCGCTCGGTGACAGATTTGGCGTACGTGTCGTCGGTGTCGGCGAACGTCCGTTCTTCGACCCGCAGAGCAAGTCCCGCACAGAGGACCTCGTGGAGCAGGAGAGGAAGTCTCAGTCGTAGAGGGGGAGCATAGTATAATAATAGGTGTGCGTGCGGAGAAGCAACATGACGAAATCCGGCAAAACAAAAGTGCACTTTTTATGACGATGATGATGATGAGAATAATAATGACTCATAATTTCGGATATGGGAAGAAATGGTCTCTTGTCTAGTGTTCAAGGGAAGGAGCAGGCTGCAGAAGCCACGCCACTTTCCTGTTGGGGATGTGCGACGTTGGTACGGAGTGTCTAAGACACCTGCGTTCTTCAACAAGGCGCCAGAAACAGCAATTTGTTATATACGACCGACCTTCTGATGGCGACGACGATGAGGAAGACAAAGTAAGCTCTCAAATAATGTGCAAACGATTGTGTTGTTCTTAAGTAGCAGATACCGAGGTTGGTGTGCATTGTATATAAGTGTATGCAAGTGCACGCGTATAATGGAGGAATGTGTATTATGCCGCGCAACTTCTCAAAGAATTCAAGAAGAAGCAAACTATGGGGTAACCTAAACCCTACCACTCCTCCGACTAAGAGAAGGAATTGATCGAGAGCTGCAATTGCGATACAAAAATCATGACTGTGGTACTCTCAAAGATGACTCCACGACCAAGGTATTACAGCATTTGCTGGCGTCGAACCCCTCTCTCAAAGCTGACAAATGAGCCACGGTCCCAAGCCTCGGCTGATAACAACACGGAGATGAACAAAGTCGCCATTGTGCTGCGTCGGGAACAGGCTTCTCAATCCGAAATCCGCAGAGTCGAAAGCATCTACATCCGCAGACACCAATTATACCAAACTCGGAGCAGCAGACATGCCAATCACAACCCGCTTCATCACTGCAGACGACGAGCCCAAGTGGCGTCACTACTGGACCGCCTATAACGAATGGTACAAGCGAGACTTGCCCGAGGACGTCACGACTGGCACGTTTGCGCGCTTCCTCGATGACAAAGTGCAGATGTACTGCGCTGTGGCTGAGGACGAGAACAAGCAAGCCATCGGCTTCGTCACCTGGTTCCCCCATCTGTCGACAGCGTCCCTTACCCCGACTGTGTACCTCAACGATCTATTTGTCGACCCGGTTGTCCGGGGCGAAGGAGCGGGAGGGAAGCTCATAGACTTTGTGTACGAGCATGCGAAGACGGAGCTGGGTGCCAAGTCCGTGTACTGGCATACGCAGCACTTCAATCATAGTGCTCAGCTGCTCTATGTCAAGAAGGCGGATAAGAGTGACTTTGTGCACTATAAAAAGATCTTGTGAGGGACAGAGACAGAGACTTTCGGGTACCTACTGTAAGTCCATGTAGGAAAGGACGGTGACAGAAAAAGAGCACAGGTTTTTCATTGGATGAAGTGGTCGCTGCCCCTACTGGTAATATGTTACCTGTCGTATACATCTGATACATAAACTGCTGTTCCTGTTCGTTCCTGTCCTGTCATATACCTCCCGCGCATTCCTGAGTTCGTTTCCTATACATGATAGACCCAGAACCCTCAAATTTCAAATACCCATGTGTCTGCAGCACGGCCCCCCCAAGTGGCAGTCAGAGTCGGGGTTATGCTTGACCTTTTCAGGAGGGCATTCACCTCCGCACTTGGGATACGGCGTCTTTTTGGGCATGGAGCAGCCACAGGAATAGAAGACGGTCCAAGAGAAACACATGGTAGGCAAGGGTGTATAGTGCAAGTCTGTCTACCGCCTGGTGTCAGCTAGGAAGGGGAGAATGTCTATGCATGAAGATGAGACTATAGAGGTTCACTCACAGAGGCTCAAAGGGGTAGGTGGATGTCTCGTGTGCTGTTCGAGGTTAAAGACTTGATGCTTAATGATTCATGCTTGACAGTTGCTGTTATCACTGTTCCTTTTTTTTTTCCATCGTGTGCCTTAGACTCTGATGATTACGACCTTTATATACCTCGTCGATACACCGCAGAGCCTCAACATGGACTAGAATCCAACTCTCTTCCAAGTCGTCGACATCCCTCGCCTATTCACCCGCCCGAGGATTTTTGCTTCTCCCTCCTTATTCATCCTCTTCCTCATGGTTCCCCCCATTTTTGGAGACTCCTACGTCACAAGTCCTCCTCTGCCATCCTAGACTGGTCTAGGCAATTTCTTTTCTTTTTATTCGAAGCGGTAAGGATTCGCAGAGCGCGTGGTTGCCCAAAGGAACACAAGACTTGGGCAAATCGCCGGATAATGTGTCTGGCAACCGGCCTATCCTGGAGGCCATGATGGTGTGTACATATGGTAGGGATGCTAAGCGACCAAAGATGGCCTGACGAAAGGAAGAAGAAGAACATGCGAAGGAGTCACCATCCCTTCTTCCTCTGATCCTCCTCCTCTCTATTCCACCACGATGCCACCTTTTGGAATATCATCGCTGGACATACCTGATATCGCGACTCCGAAGAAGGGATTGTGTCGTCGCTGTGGCCAGTGTGCCGCGCCCAAAAGTAGCCTGGCGGCCAATGGGCATCAACCACATCATACACCAGAAATGAGTATCTGGTGACCATGTCTGTATATCAGAGATGTAGAATGAGGTATATTGCTGTACAACCTTTGCACGTTTTACTCCCCGATGGGACGGTTCAACCTTGTACCCCCCCCCTCCACAATCTTGAAGTCGCGGTTAGGGATCCGCATCCGCACTTCTCCTCTATTCGCTCGGGATGAAGGGGGAGAGGGGGTGTTCTTGTACTGATGCCACACAGACATGGAAGACCCTGTCTGCCGCTGCTGTGAACCGCTGTCACCCGACTATTTCCGTGCATTATCAATTCTGCCCTCCCAGTAGTTGGGTGTATTCGTAGACGGGCGACGGAAGGTATGCTTGAAAGAGGTGTGTGAAAGATGCATGCATGCATGCATGCATGAAGGCGCATCTTTCCCATGCTTCGACTTGGAGAAGAAACGGTCATGCTAGCATCTTGGCGCTGCTTCTGGAGAACTGCAGACCAAGCGGGTTCTATATAATTGATTGTCCTTTGTAAAAGGCAAGTCACAAGTTTGGGGGGCGGAGGAGGGGGGCTTTGTACATGTTTTTGATTTATTCCATCACTTACATGAGGTCGGTTTCTTACGCAGAATTGGCGTCGAATAGCCGCTCCCATATTTTGAATTCCTTTCTTTTCTCTATCGTTGGTCCCTGTTACCTTCTTATACCATATATAGATTTGAGGATTATCTGAGTCCAATTTACACCTTGTATCAGGATATAGACACTGTACACTGTGTGACGTACGCATATTGACTAGTACCTTCACAGTGCATACATATGCACGTATAAAATATATACACACTGAATCGTATACGCCCAAAATAGGCCAAACACAGACCTTCGCTCTCATTCCCCCCATTCGCAACAACAAATGAGAGGAGCCACGGCTAAGAACAAGATTATCCATCATGAGTGAACCGCAGAGGACATCCAGTAAAGGCCACACCCGGAACAAGTCATCAACAAAGAGTGCGTCTCCCCCCACCCTCTCGTTTTGTCTTCTTCACCGGTTCTTATCTGGCTGTCATGACGCAATCCCCTCAATCTAAAACTCCCTCCGTTGCATCATGTTGGATGACACCTGTTCATGGCTAACCTTCCGCCAGCCCGACCACGATCCTCCACAAAGGGACCCTTGGACGTAGACGAGTAAGTCTCTTTCTCTCAGATCGTCCAACCGGAAAACACCCTGCTTACCACCCACTGCCACGTTCAGCACCCCTCTGTCATCACCAAAGTCGCCAGCCCAACGCAGCCCGAGCACGGGACAGCCCCGACGACCAGACCCGCTGTCATTGAGGTCGCGGACGAGCTCTCCCGCTGTTACCGCAGCAAGCGAGAGGCGCTCAGGTGCTGGTGGTGCCAAGGACTTTTCCTTCCTGATCAAGCCAGAGATCTACCACCCCCTAACACCGCTCAACGTGCCTCTCGCCTTTCGCAACTCACCCAAGCAGCCCGATCCGGACACACCGCTGGATGAGCTGATTTCCCGCGGCCATTTCCGCGCCGCGGCCATCGCCGCCGTCCAGGAGCTCACAGGCTCCAAGGGCCAGGTGGACCCGCGTGACCACGCGCGCATCTTCTCCCTCCTGTACACACGCCTGGCTTGCCTCACTCTTATCGACGCCACGTCCCTGGCCGCCCAGGAGGTCAAGGCCCTCGAGGACCCGAGCAATGCGCGGCTTTACGTCGACGAGTCTACGGGGGAGCATCTCATCCCCTGGGACCTACGCGTGCTCATCGTCCGGCTGCAGGCCCTGGGGTTCAACGATGCGCGTAGGGCCGTCATGAGCTACCACGACCTCGGGAGGGAGGCACGCATCCGTATCTCGCGAGCTGCGGCCGACCACGACAGTACGGCGCGCGAGCTGTGGAAGGCCAGGCTGCACGATCTGGGAATCAAGGTCGCCGGTGCGCTCATCGAGATGGACGACGTCTCGGGTGCGGCGAGCCATTTGGCCAACCTGCGCGATAAGGGCGACGGTACTCTGAGTTTATCAAAGGCTTTGCTGTGGATCCATCTGGGAGACGTGGACAGGGCAAGGAGCCTATGTGCCAGTGCAGGGGGTGGAAGTATACCTGACAGAGTCATATCTGCTCTGTGTGATATGGCTGATGCCTCGTATGAGGCTGCTGCCGAGACGTGGCAGGGGCTCAGGAAGGATGTGCCGGACGATGAAATGGTGGGCATCAATGCCGCCGTCTGTCTTTTATACCTGGGAAAGATTCAAGAGGTATGCTCTCTGTTCCCAAGTTCTCTGCGCGGTGTCGATTATTTCATTTCACTAACTGGTCTACAGGGCCGGGATATTCTAGAAGAACTCGTTGAGTCTGGGGCATCGTCGCACACACTCCTGTTCAACCTGTCCACCATGTACGAGCTCTGCACTGAGAGAAATCGCGGTCTCAAGATGAGGTTGGCGGAGCAGGTGTCACGGATGGATGAGTCATCGCGGGGCTGGGAGAAGACGACGTCAGACTTCAAGCTGTAGGATTGGACCGGTTTATCAAGCATGCCATTCTTCAAATTATACTCTCCCAGTACTTAGTTTGCCCAATACGTTTCCTACAAAGACGGACCGCGGCATGATCCCCTCCTCGGAGGTGAGTTACCCCACATACGCGGAAAGCGGAAGCGGCGGGGTAGTGAGTAGAGGGACCTCGGCACGCAATCAGCAAGACTATATAAAACGATTGATGTTGTTCTAACCATTCTTCTTGTTGTTACTGCTGTTGTCATTTCCTTCCAAGTATTCTGAAATACTTCCTCTTGTAATTCTCAATCGTAAACCCTACCAAAGCCTACCATGTCAGACCGTGTGTCCCAAATCGCCGGCCACCTCAACTACCCCAAGGGTCTACTAGACGGCCAAGTAGCCATCATAACGGGCAGCGGGCAAGGTATCGGGGCAGAAGCCGCGAGACTATTTGCCAATGAGGGGGCAAAGGTAGTTGTAGCCGACATTGACGCCAGTACGTTTCTCTTTTCCTCTCTCTCTCTCTCTCGCAGCCCACACTCCCTGCTCTCGATGGCTACATCTGACAATTGCAGACAAAGGTAATGTGGTAGCCGAGAGCATCAACAAGAGTGGCGGGCAGGCCATCTCGGTCCCCGGAAACGTCTTAGACGACAGCTACTTAGCTACGCTGGTGTCTCGCGCGGCGGACTTTGGCCAGGGCCACATCCACATCATCGTAAACAATGCGGGCTACACGTGGGACGGGGTGATCCACAAGATGACGGACAAGCAGTGGGACAATATTGTGGCCCTGCACTGCACGGCGCCCTTCAAGCTGGTGCGCGCGGCGTCGGCCTATTTCCGCGTCAGGGACGGCGCGCCCCGCAGCATAGTCAACATCTCGTCCACGTCGGGCATACACGGCAACGCCGGCCAGATCAACTACTCGCTCGCCAAGGCCGGGGTGACGGGCCTCACCAAGACCATCGCTAAGGAGTGGGGCCCCGCCTTCGGGGTGCGCTGCAACGCTGTCGCCTTCGGGCACATCCTCACCAGGCTGACGGCCGACAAGGAGGACGGGGCCTTCGTCGCCGGCCCCGACGGCGAGAAGATCGCCCTGGGTATCCCGGCCAAGCAGAAGAGCGGCGAGGTGGGGGATCGCGCCGCTGCGTATGGGGACATTCCACTGCGCAGGGCGGGCTCGGCGACAGAGGCGGCCAGCAGTATTCTTGCTGTGGCGAGTCCACTGTTCTCATACGTCACTGGACAGACCATCATGGTGACAGGTGGGAGGAATATGTGAACTTGGCAGGGATAATGCGCAATGAAATAATAGTAGTAATAATATTGTTGCTACCACTATATTCTTCTCTCTTTGTATTACAACGCTCCCTCTTACCCTTTTTTTCCTTTTTCCTTTTTTGTGCCTTTGGGCTCATACCTTGAGCCACAGGTTAAACACCCCATTCGCGTAAGCGACAATCTCATCGCCGCCGAGCTTGCTCTCGCCGTACAGCCTGTCGACAAAGGAGATGGGGACCTCGGCGACGGAGCAACCCATGGCCTTTGCACGCACAATCATCTCCATCTGGAAGGAGTACCCCTTGGACGTCGTGCTCAGTATGACCTTTTCGAGGACTGGCTTCTTGTAGAGGCGGAAGCTGCCGGTGACGTCACTGACTCCAGGGCGTAGCACCGTGTCGGCGAACAGGTTGGCGCCCCTGGAGACGAACTTGCGCTTTAGGTCCCAGCCGAAGACACCGCCGTCGCCGGCGTACCGCGTTCCCGTGACGATGTCGTAGTCAGCCTCGCGCTGCTTGGCCACCATGCGCGGGATGAATTTGGGGTGGTGGCTGAAGTCGGCGTCCATGATGATGACAAAGTTGCCCGTGGTGAACTGCAGGCCATGAACGTACGCCGTACCCAGCCCCAGCTTGCCCGCCCGAGGCTTCAGAACGATGTTGGGGCTGTAGGCGTTGATGAGCTGCTTGGCAACCTCTTGCGTGCCGTCGGGCGATCCGTCGTCGACAATGATGAGTTCCCAGTCTAGGTTGCTGCGGGGGGAGGGGGGTAGCCAACCAGTCAGTCAGTCAGTATACTCGGAAAGGCGTATATGAGACGTTAAAAAAAGAGAAGAGAAGAAAAAGCATACGCTTCCGTAAAGGTGCGGTGCAGGAGCCACGCCATTATAGGCAGGTTCTTGCGCTCATTGTACGTGGGCAGGATCACCGAGTACTTGTCCTTGGTCTCAGCCATGATTCGAGGTTCCGGCGTGAAGTGTATGATATATCGAATCTGATTGGTGGTATTGTCAGGATGTGTTGATGATCGTTAGGGCAGAATTGTAAAGGAACGTGTCGAGTTGGGGCTGATCGCGTCTAACAATTGTGATCGCGTCAACTTGAAGCTGTCCTCAAGTGCGTAGGTTTAAGGGGGGGGGGGGGCTTTGAGGGTGCAGATGGATGACTCAGCAGCCCCTGAGCTATGTGCGGGTGGGTGCGGCTCACAGCACTGCCAGCCTTGCGTATACAAAATATCGTGAAATTCTAGAAAAAAACTTGCCAATATCTATCTAAAATTTGTTTTTCTATTTACCCTTACTTTTTTGATTTGTTTTAATGCCTACTCCCCTCGGTGTGTTGAGTGTCTTTCTATGGTAGAGGTATAACCAATAATGGTAGAGATCTACTTCCCCGCCAATATACTGATAGCTACCAGGGTCTAATTTTCACACTGTACGTTTACCCGAGCCTACACCAGGTATACAGTGTTAACAAGTTTCTCCACGACCAACTTCCATCTCTACTATCGGCCATCGTACATCTTTGGTATTATTGCTATCCGTATTCCGTACTCCGTACCACCACCACCTCCAATACGTATATACATGTACTCTGAACCGGAAGTTGACAGATGTTATGGATCCCTGGTATTTCTCTGCAAACGGTAAACTCGGTTCATCGTAGACCGGAGTGTTCCATTGCGCAACTTGATGATGCGACTGTCACGCCCTCTAGTGGAACCACCACCACCACACACAGTGACATTCACACACGCAATCAATTGCCCTCCCCGCCTCCTCCAGTTCTATGATTCCCTAGATGCACTTTCACACTTTCACACTTTCACATAACCTCATACTCATACACAGCCAATATTAGGGATCCTTTCCTCTCCATCTCCTCCTTGCTTATCATCAGACGCTCAAATAATCCAATTGTCTCTTTTGCTGTGCGCTTTCCAACACCAATCGACCTCACCTGCGAGCACGCATCGCATACGCACCCTTACGTCATTGCCATGTCCATCGCAGCAGACACCGGTAAGGCCATAGCTACAATTGATGCGCACAACCCCTTCATAGAGGAGAACGAAGAGATATAGATGGAGATATTTATATACGACAGAAAGAGATGGATGACGACGACTTTCAAACTACTATTGGGACTGACGAACCAAAGTAGCCGCCGCGCCGGTCCCTACGGATGGTCCGGGGGACACAACGACATCTCAAATCAGCGCCGACGCTCCCTCGGCGGCCGAGACGAAGAGCAATGGCGTCGATGCCGCTGATACCGATGGTGATAAGTATGCCAAACAGGCCGACGACGATTCGTCGCAGCCCAAACATGTCATCGTCCCTAAGCCCGTCGAGGTCAACTCGGTCCCCGAGACGCCCGTAAACGCACAGACGCCCGCGGGAGGCACACCGCGGCTGGAGCTCCAGACGACGGCGACGGAGCAGGATGACCCCGATGGCAAGGAAGACAACCGCGACGAAAACGCTTTTCTAAAAGACGATGACGACGACGAAGAGGGCAAGGAACAGCCCGCGACCACTGCTAATACCGACGCTGACGCTGCTGTTGCTGCTGCCCCTGCCCCTGCCCCTGCCCCTGCGACCACCAACGGGAAGCGCAAGGCTGAAGACGAAGAGACAGAGGCCAATGGAAACGGTCAGGAGACCAAGACTGAAAAGGAACAGAAGAATGAGCGACCGGACAAGAAGAGCAAAGTGACGGACACAATTTCCGAAAAGGTGTCCGGGGTTAAAGAAAAGGTCGAATCCAAGATTGGTGGTGGGAGATCTAAAAAGGCCAAGGCGCCACCGGCGGTCGGTAGGACGGAGCGCAAGACTCGCAGTCAGGGACCCGTTGAGCAGACGGCGCAGTAGGATATATTCTAGTCAAGGTATTTTCTTTCTTGTTCTTTTTTTCCCCCTTTCATTTCCTTTCATTTTCTTGTCTTCTTCTTCTTAATCTACCCGTCTTCGTCTTTTTATTGTTCGTCTTTGAAATCGTTTTAACCATCCATGAATGTTGTCTCCCAGAGAAACGAAAAGGCGGAATACGGTACGGTACATAGTCGTTCCCTTCCAGGTCAAAGGTACTGCTAGTGAGAACAAGACAATAAGCTACCAAAATGGCGTCATCAATTGATGCTACTACTCCTTTTTTCTAAAACGACACGGACAGGCAGATGATCTATCCGATGTGGTTATTACTTGCTCAAGTGCGCATTGTTAATCTCTATCTGTTACATGTAACACTCATACGTCGTATTACCAGTCCGTATCTTCTCCGCAAATTACCGAGGACAGTCACAAGGGGGTAATCAACAATAAACATGAAGGGGTGGAGGTGGAGGAGTGAAAAAGGCTTAAGCCTTGGTCCATCTCTCCTCTGCTGCTTACTTTTTACGGGGGTAATTGATTGCTGGTCCGAAGGAATACGTGGTCCTAGGACCTAATACATAGTGCAAGCAGTATCAGTACCCTTTTTACAGAGAAGAACAGGTCATTCACTCCTACTCATGCGGTTCTAGCCTCCTAGGGGGGTCTACGCGTCGATTTCTGGTGGTATGTCGGGACTGGCATGGTGAGACCATGGTTCGGAGTTTATCAAGAATCTAGACAACATTCAAGTGGCGGTTATGTGGAGAAGTTGGAAGTTCGGCGACACGTACAAGTAAGACTGTACTCGTCCCTGCATTCGTAGACTACTTCTACTAGTAGTACTTAGTAATGCTTAGTTAGTATAGATGGTAATACAAGGTACCGTCCCATGGCACCGTGATACTGAGACCTGTGCTTCAATCTATCAATGCACTCTGACGAACAATGGAGGAGGAAGACAATGACTTCTCAAAGAGGAGATCGGACGGTTTCCAAGACACGTTCTGGTACGCATACTGATAGCAGGGCTGTAGAGAAACGAGACAGGCGCGGTTGCGTTCCCCACCGTTCTCGAATGCGGGATGACGAGTTCCCCGTTTCAACTTTGCTGTTGTTTGCGGTCCCAAGCTGTTGTACTTTGTAATATCCGTAGAAACTACCAGAAAACCAGAGCATATTGGCAGCAGCAGCAGTAAGTGTATTCCTAAGTTGTAACACCGTCTCTTCTGATTGCTCGAGAGTGAAAATACATACAAAGACCGGCATAACACCCCACAACCTTGTGGGAACAAGTTAGGAATATTACTATTACTAGCAGTATCATTATGTAATGGACTCACACAGCCACTATTACCTATCTCTACTACTAGCAGAGGCACGACGAGTATTGACCTTCCAACCTGCCATCATAGATATAGACGTCCGGTATGACGTCTTTCTTATCAAAAAGTCATCTGCGATGCTTCGTGTAAAAAGAGAGACGATAATTGCGACGAGAATTCGAGCCTCGTATTGTCCACGCCTAAAGTCTGTCTAGTCGGTGCATACCAGACAGGGGGGGGAGGATGATTTTCAGGGAAGGACATTTAGGCCAGTAATACGTTACTATCAGCCCCTAAAAGTGCGCTGTACGTTGGCCCTTTTGGGGGGGGAGGGAGAGGGGCAGGGTAAAAATAGAATATAGGGTCTACTGGTAGGTCTGGTCGGTCTCCACCGATACATAGAAAGCAGATAATATACATGACTATACTTTGACACTATGGAGGATATACACCTTATACAAAGTCTCCATCAGTATCTCTTAGCATAGACATATACCCCTCAAGCATGCGGCTCTCCCGGGTCCCTAGTAGCCAATCATTTGATCAATGGCGCTTGCCGAACGGGCCCAACGTCGACTAGCACCGGTAGCACCTGCCAAGTCCCCTGCTTGCTACCTGCCTGCTTGGGTCTTGAGCCTTGGTACGAAGTACTGCTCACCTGCTTTGTCTCTTTGTACCTGGTCAACGCTGTGCGGATATTAAAATCCTTCGTACTTGTCTAGACATCAACAGCCTTTTGAACCTACTATTCAAATGATGGAACATAATTCTCGGCAATAATCCTCCGTCATCCTATCATCTACGGATACCCGTATACTCCGTATATATATGTGTTTTGCTGGAAAAGTGCAATACGTCCTTGCTTTTCTTTCGACCAAAGAAAATAATAGACGGAAGAAACCATCGAAAGTAGAAAAGACAAGGGAAGGCACCACCGACCCTCTTTCCTCCCCCCAAAACGACCCACCCCCATTCATGTGACGAATCGCAGCTCCTGACTTTGGCATTCAATTCTTTTGTCTCCTCCCTCTCTGTCTCTCTCCATATTCTCTGTACTTTATTTTGTCGTTGTACTTACTTGTCTTTTGTAATCTGTACTTTGCTCTTGTACTCCGTACTGCGATGCTCGTTTGTCGGGGTTTCCTTCATGCACGAATCACCGTTCAATCCTTCCCTCCCATCATCGTCTCTTCTTTCTCTTCTTCATCTCTCTTCCTTTCTTCTTGTCTTCCTTTCAGATACCCGCCTCGTCGTTTCTATCCAATTTTTGACAGGCCTCTATACAACAGACTCTTCCTCTTCCTCTTGACTCGACCGCGCCCCACGAGGCCCCCCATTCTGCCCATCGTTTGTTTCACCCCCCCCCAAATCGTCATCATTCTTTACGGAATACTCGTATTCAACTCATCCCCTGTTCTTCTCTCCCTATTCTCTCCGCCCATTCTCTCCGATTCTTTTGTTTTTCTTTTTCTCTCCGGATTTTCATACCGCCTTAAAAAAAATCCATTCTACACACCTACAACTCTGTACAATCTAAATCATCATCGACCTTATCACGCACATGTTGCAACCGACAGTCTAATCGCCTGCCCGCCGTCGATCCCCTGAAACTAGGACGACGTGGGGCCCTTGTGCCCGTGGCAAACCCTCGATAACCGCCTCCCCTCGGTATTAATCGATTCCTTTTCGCCTCCGACGCATGAGACCGCCTGCCGTGTTTTCCTCCTCCCACGCTCATCTGCTCCTTCGCTTGCTCCCTCTCGTACCTGGGCCTAGCCTAGTCTAGCCCGACCATATCCCTTCAACACCATGACTGTGGATGCTGCTTCAGCCTCGGTGCTGCTCGATCCTAGGGAAGGTATCGATGCTGGCAAGAAACTTCTCAACCTGCTTAAGAACCCCTTTGCGGACCAGGTAAGACAATGGAAAATACATTTTACTACGTCTTTGCTGCTTCCTTACTGTTTGTCATGATGTTTTAGTCTGGTGGAAACACCGATACTGACAGATCGCTCTCCATAGCTTGCCGGCGCGTCGCTTCTTTCTGCCCTCATCACTTCACTCAGCTTTACCGTCCTCGCGACGGTCTTCTTCTCCCTCCTACGACCCCATCACCAAGCATTATACGCTCCAAAGCTCAAACATGCCGACGAGAAGCATGCTCCGCCCCCCATAGGCAAGTCGCCGTGGGCCTGGCTCAACCCCTTGTGGAGCACTAGCGAGGAGGACCTCATCACCCAGATCGGAATGGACGCAACCGTCTTCCTCCGCTTCGTCCGCATGTGTCGCAACATCTTCCTCATCCTCTCCCTCATCTACGTCTGCGTCATCGTTCCCGTCAACATAACCCACTACAGCAAAGACGTCGCCCCCAAGGATACAAACTGGTTCAGCACAATCACCCCTGAGTACGTCTGGGGCAAGGCCAACTGGGCCCAGGTCGTTGTCTCCTGGCTCATGGACCTCTCCATCGTCCTCGTCCTCTGGTGGAACTACCGCAAGATCACCAAGCTTCGCCGTGCCTACTTTGAGAGCGATGAGTACCAGGACAGCCTGCACGCTCGAACCCTCATGCTCTGGGACATCCCCCGCCAGATGCGCTCCGACGAGGGCATTGCCAGGATAATTGACGAGGTCGTTCCCAACTCGTCATTTGCCCGCACCGTTGTCGCCAGAGACGTCAAGGACCTGCCCCGGATCATCAGCGACCACGACCACGCCGTCCGTAAGCTCGAAAAGATACTCGCCAAGTACCTCAAGAACCCCCAGCAGCTGCCCCCCGGCCGTCCCACCTGCAAGCCGTCGAAGAAGGACCGTGCCTACGACACCTACCCCCGCAACCAGCGCGTCGACGCCATCGAGTACTACACCCAGCGCATCCGCTCCCTCGAGCTGGAGATCAAGGAGGCCCGCGCCAATGTCGACAGGCGTGGTATCATGCCCTACGGCTTCGCCAGCTACGACGACATCTCCGAGGCCCACAACATTGCCTATGCCTGTCGCAGCAAGAAGCCTCACAGCACCACTGTCAAGCTCGCTCCCCGACCTAACGACCTCATCTGGACCAACATGCCCCTGTCCAAGGGCGCCCGCAGCCGTAAGTCGTGGCTCAACTTTATGTGGACCACGCTCCTCACTATCCTTTGGATCGCTCCCAACGCCATGATTGCCATCTTCCTCGTCAACCTGAGTAACCTCGGCAACTTCTGGCCCGACTTCCAGAGGTCTCTCTCGGCCAACACCACTGTCTGGGGTATCGTCCAGGGTATTCTCTCACCCTCGGTCATGTCGCTCGTCTACCTGGTCCTGCCCACCATATTCCGACGCCTGGCCATCCGGGCTGGTGACAAGACTAAGACGGGGCGCGAGAGGCACGTTTTGTCCCGCCTCTACAATTTCTTCATCTTCAACAACCTCATCGTCTTCACCCTCTTCAGCGTGATCTGGACCTTTGTCGCCGGTGTCGTCGACAGCACTTCCAAGGGCCGCGATGGCTGGGAGGCCATCAAGAAGCAAGACATCAGCGAGGGTGTCTTCATCTCGCTGTGCCGCAACAGTCTCTTCTGGGTCACCTACCTGCTGCAGCGCCAGCTCGGCGCCGCCGTTGACCTGGCCCAGCTGTACCCCCTGCTCGAGGCTTTCTTCATCAAGAAGTTCTCGAGCCCTACGCCCCGGGAGCTGATTGAGATGACGGCCCCTCCGCCCTTTGAGTACGCCAGTTATTACAATTACTTCCTGTTCTACGCCACCGTCGCCCTCTGCTACGCCAGCATCCAGCCCCTCGTGCTTCCTGCCACGGCTCTGTACTTTGTCATTGACGCATACCTCAAGAAGTATCTCATCCTCTACCGCTTCGTCACCAAGACGGAGTCTGGCGGCGTCTTCTGGCGCGTTCTCTTCAACCGCTTCATCTTTGCCACCGTCCTCTCCAACCTGGTCGTGCTCCTGATCCTGTGGAACCGCGGAGACGGCACAATGTACCAGTTCTACAGTGTCTGCCCCCTGCCTTTCCTCATGATTGGTTTCAAGATCTACTGCCGCAAGGTGTTTGACGCCAAGATCCGCTACTACAGCACCCGCAACGTCGGCAAGCATCCCGAGGCCGGTGCCCAGAAGGAGGACCGGCAGCGAAGCGACCGCCTGGCCAGCCGCTTCGGTCACCCCTCGCTCTACCAGAAACTCATCACCCCCATGGTCCATCAAAAGGCCCAGAACCTGCTGCCCGCCATCTACACAGGTCGCCTGACGGACGGCCGTGATGGCGGTGACGACGAACTGATGAGTGTCAGCGGCTACTCGGATGTCTACGCTATGAAGAACATGAACGGCGGCGGCGGCGGCAGACCGGGCAAGCCGGCCAACAGCAACATGCCGGGCTTCGAGTACGTTTCGGAGTCGCATATGGATTTCGAGTACTACAAGAACCGTGCAGAGTTTGCCGAGGACCACGGCGGCGGCGAGATCTTTGGCCGGCCCGGCGAGATTATACGGACCGACACACCCGGGACGGCGAGCGAGTTTGGTTTTGGATCCCGAGCGGGCACCCCTCTATCTGGAGGTCGGTCCGTGCCGACGCCGTTTTCGCCGGGTGCCGCCGACATGTCGTACCAAGGCGCCCGGGGCGTTCCCAACCGCGGCTTCACGCCACCCGTGCCGCCTCTCGGTAACGTGGACCGGACTTTCAATCACAGCCCCCTATACGCCCAGGACAATGGCAGCACATCGAATCTCGTGTCCAACGCGCAACCGCTGGGTATGGCCCCGCTAGGCGGGGAAAGCCTCGCGCCGTCACGCACTCCGAGCCCCATGGCCCCCATGAACCGGCACCCGACTCCTGTGCGCAGTCACAGCCCCGGACCCTCGGTGGGTGCCATGGGGGGTGGGCCCTCTGGTTACAGCGGCCTAGCACAGGCAGAGTACCCGATTGAGGGGGGGGACGATGCCACGCAGTACAACTATTTCAGGTCGGGTGCACGTGGTGGTAGGCGTCCAGGTGAGGGGCGGTAGACTGCTCTCTTCTCGTCTACAGCTGTCGCCCACGTTTTTGCGTGTCACCTTTTATACCCTATTTTCATATCTGTTCACATGTTTCCATTTTATAACTCTTTATTTAATCTCACCATATGAGAGAAACGAAAAGAATTAAAGGCATGGCGTTTGGGATAGATTGGGTGAGGAAATTCTTCATATTTCTTTTTTTGGCGTTAAAAACGCGATCAGCGGGGTTTCTTTTTCTCTCATTTTTCATTTTTCATTTTGTTTTTGTGACTAAATAATTGCATTTGTCATGAATATACCATTACTAGATCACGCTTTTCTATCTTGGTGAGTGTTGGGATGAGTACAGATCTGTACTCGTATGTGAGAATCACCTGGTGATGAGTGGGTGTCGATGCTGAGCAACCTACTGTCACGCAGTAGGTTGCTGTGAGGCATCCATTGTCGTCTTGTGTGTAATATATGTCTCCTCATACTAATCTATCTGTATTATGAGTCTATAAGTGCTTGCATATTATGTGACGAGCCAATCAAGAGTGTCATGTCCACCAGCGGCGCCATGGTCGCCGGTCCAGCCATGGGCTTCAGCGTCATCAGCGTGCCAGGCTGACTGGTCGTTTCGTCGTCGTGGCAGGACGGGGTTGTTGATGATGACCTGGCAGAGGGTATTGCTTCTGATGCGGAGGGCATGGCTGGACGGTGGATACAGAGTGGGTATTTTATCTGGTAACTTCACACATCACACGCACATGTATGCATGCACCACCAAAGTCTTCCTCGTAGGCAGGCAGTTCCCTGAATCTGACATGTCTCCATGATGATGTAACATGCAGATCATCTCACAAGGAAGGGAGTGACAAAAGGAGGAAGAGGACATCTTGGCTTGGACTCAAAACTGTTCTCATATTGTCATCTAAGCTTGAGTAGATGGGAAAAAAAAAGACAATGATAAAGTTGAGTAAGGATGACGACGGCCAGATACACTCGACCCCTCTGTGCTTCCAAAAGGGCGACAGCATGCGAAGAATTGTAGACGCTGATACGGTGGTCTCTGGCTATGTATAAGGCCTGGGTCGATATGTGTGCGTCTGATGGCTTCCTCCAATGGAAAAAGGAAGGGAGTCTATCTATGAGATTAATTACAGATGCGAGTGTGGGGCAGCAGCTCCTGGCTGCTTAGTCATGCAATTTAGGTGCCACACCTCCATCCCTCTAGGGTAAGCCAAACTGACTCGGTGCTGAGTTAGTGGGGGGGGGGGTCTTCTTCTCCAGCCACACCTGAGCAAGTCCAAGAGTTCCAGGCTCCAGCCTCTGCCACACCGCCACTCGTTCTACCTCACAACCCAATATTAATACTCATACAGGTACGGATACAACTGTGAATTTGATGGTCAGGTCTTAATGAC